ACAACGGCAAACAAAATAACAAAAACACAGAAAAGAGAGGAAGATCAAAATTTTGTGTGTTCCTACAACTCCTCTCAAGCTTGGCGTGAATGTTGATGGTGCCAAGCTTGAAATTGATGTTGTGGAAGGTGGAAGGAGGAAGATGCTTGGTTAACATATCAACAATATGCACATTATTGTGTATGGGAAGAAGCTTCGCAACCTCTATTGAACTTTTTTGTGAATAAGATGACAATCGATTTTGATATGCTTCATTCTCTCGTGGAAGACTTGATTTTTGGCGATTTTGATGGCAAACGTGTTATCACAGAAGATGGTGAAGAGTTAGGAGAAGGAAAGATTTTAGACAACTGTACGATACTATGTTTCAAAGGAACTTTGTGATACAATGGTTTACTTTTTAGATTTCCATGATATTGACGACTCATCCAGATAGACAATGTAGCCCATGGTGGATTTGCGAGAGTCAGGACAGTTGGTCCAATCAGAGTTACTATAAGCTTTCAAAGTAACATGATTAGTGGCTTTAGAAAGATATCTTAACCCGGTGTTTGTTTAATCTATCGCAAGATTTTAAAAGCGGCTTGATGATGAAGCATTGTCGGAGAAACAATGTATTGGCTTAAACGATGAAAAACATAGGTGATTGATAAGTGTGAAAAAGAATTGTTTTTACACTTATAAATGAGCTCAATCTTGTAATTATTCATGTTGTTCCGAAAAGTAGTAATAGGTAGTAGATTGTTATGTAAAATATTGTACAGGAAAGGGTGTATTATTTGAACTCTGTCAGCCAATTTTCGCAAAGCGAAAGCCAAAATTCGCACTCCCAGAAGAAGGAAATTCGCATAGCGCACCAGTACCTGTGCGCTAAGCGAATAACATCAGTTAAAGTGCAACAGTTAAGAAAATTCGCATAGCGCACCAATACATGTGTGCTGAGCGAATTAATGAAGTTAAGTGTCTTTAAAAGACGTGACAGAAAGACAAAAACATTCTTCAGATAGAAGTTACGGAGAGAGGAAAGAAACGAAAACATTTCAGGAATTTCCAGAGACTACTTCAAGGAATCAAGACACCATTGTTACAAGGGATTGCTTCAAATGTGTACGTTCTAGATGTCTAGGAGTAGTTAAATTTTTCTTTTGTTGGAATTAGATGTAATGAACTCACTCTGATGTAATTTTTCTGTTCAATATATCGTTGTTCGTTCATATGCTCTTTCTTGAATTTAATAACATTGTATGAAAATATAATGTTATTTGAATGTCTTTGATTACTGGAAAGTAACTTTGAACATGAACATAGATAGAGCACCTAAGTGATTTGAGATCTAGGGATAGACTCAATAACTTGGTCATTCTTAACATCGGACTTAATGCAAATTGTATGTTAAATTGACTAAGGGATTAACATTTTGATATATTAATTTAGAACTAGTTGCTAAGGGATTAGGACTAGTATGTCTTTATGTGAATGTTTGAATGAAATAATGATATATTGTAGATATCTCTTCCGGATAAAAAAAGAAGTGATTTCATTTTTTTTGATTCTTAGTAAAACTAATAAAAAAATTTCATTTTTTCTTTTAAGTTTTACTTGTTTCTTCCCCCATAAAGATATTGAATAGAATGAATTATTTTTTTTCCATGAACGTTTAAATATCCTTCAAAAACAAGTAAATAAATTCGAAACATATAAAATGTAGTTAATGCTGCTGCAGAACAAGTTATTATTGCAAAAATTGGTGAATACAACCAATTATCATTAAGAATCTCATCTTAGACCAAAAACAGGCAAAGGGTGGAATACCCCAAAGAGTGAGTGTACCCACTAAAAAAAGTTTTTGTAATTGGTACATGTTTTGTTAAACCGCCCATAAAAATCATATTTTGACTTTTAGCTGGAGAATATCCGACAAGAGCTTCCATTGAATGAATAATAGATCTAGATCCTAAAAACAACAGTGCAGTTTTTTTAGTGCCAAAATATAATTCATATGATTCATGAAACTCAATTCCAACAAAGTTTCTTTTAAATATAATTCCTTGCACACCAAATGTTTGATAAAATACCAAAAAGAGTTTCTTTTGTTGTTTTGTGCATTTTGATGTCTAATTGAGTTATAAAAGGTAGAATTGTCATGTGTTGCACAAGTCCTTTGGGAGACGATACTTTTACTTATTCACTGTATTACTTGGAACGATTTGGTATACTTACCAAAAAGTTATCAGTGATGTTGGGGCCCATGTTGGTGGGATAAATGAGCTTCCCTATCAGCCTCTTGAATACAACAAATCATCAACAAAATCTCCTTCAAAACACACTTTGGTGGAGAAGTTCATGAGTGTGCTGACTGGGTGTTGCATCAATCATCCCTGTTTTGGTGAGAAGGTCAAGAGCATATTTACATTGAGACAAAAGGATACTTTTTATGCTTTTAGCAACCTCGAAGCCCAAAAAGTAAGACAAATTATCAAGATTTTTTATTTTAAATTCGTCATTAAGCATGTTTGAGATTTTATTAATATCATGAATGTTGTTGACAGTAAAGATTATATCATCAACGTAAACAAGCATGACAATGATATTGTCCTCATTATGTTTAGTAAATAGAGAGTGATCGCATGATGTTTGTGTAAAGTTGTGAGAGAGAAAGAAGGAGGATAACTTGTCATACCATTAACAACTACCTTATTTTAATCAGTAAGGGATTTGTGGAGAAGGAAAACTTGATTTTTACCTGGAGCAGTAACCCTTAGTGGTAATTGCATGTAAACTTCTTCATTTAAGTCACCATGTAAGAAGGCGTTGTTGACATCCAATTGTCTCAGATGCTAGTTTTTAGTTGATGTTAATGACAAAATAAAATGAACGTTGGTGAGTTTAACCATAGGGAAACAAGTGTCAAAGTAGTCAATACCCTCTATTTGAGTGTAACCCTTGGCTATTAGGCGAGCCTTGAATATGTCTATGACCCCATCAACCTTTTTGTTTTGTTTTGTACACCTATTTGCATCCTATGGCCTTTTTGTTAAGGGGAATAATGGTAATGGTCCATGTGTTGTTATGTTTGAGAGTAACAATTTCTTCCTTCATAGCAATTCTTCAATGATCATGTTGCATGACCTCCTTGAAATCTTGTGGATCAACAATACTATTTAGAGAAAAAATGAAAGCTCTATATGCACGAGATAATATGTCAAAATCAATAGAGTATTTCATGTTAGTGGTGTTACAAGAAGAGATATGAAAACCTTTTAGATGTGTAGGGGTTTTCTTACTCTAGTAGACCGTTTAGGAGAATGATTTTTATTTTCTACATATCCTAAGCATGATGGACAAATTATCAATAGAAATGATTGCATGAGATTGATCATCATCATAAATAAATTGGTTATAATGTAAATGCAACGAAAAATTTCGATTTTTAATAGTAGTAAAAATGACAACAAAAAAACTCAGTTTCAATTAAAACAACACTTTTAGAGATCCTAATATCATGATTTTCAAGATGATAAGTAATTTAATATTTGATAATAAAATGTAAACTAAGAAAGATGTTGGGCTTAACACGAAGATCAAATTTCTTCCGATTAATTTAGACCACCAAAAAAACTGAGTCTAATAACGTTAAAAGAAATAAATTTAGAGAAAAATAAAAGTGTATTTTATTTAAATATAAGCATGTGCTTTTATATATATATATATATATATAATATGTTCAAATTTTCAAGTTAATCTGATTTATTATTAGGTTAAGTTTAGTGAGATTAAAAATAATATTTGAATGAATATGAATTCTGTTAGGAGTGAGTTGTGGACTAACACTTATAATTTTTTTTTCATAATTTTTTATCATAATGATTTGTCACTTTTAATTATATAAATTAATACCAATGTTTTTTTTATCAATGTTATTTAATATTATTATAATAACGAGATGTTTAACTTTTATCTGACATATTCACATTTTAATTTTTACCTACTATATTTAAATTATTACTTTTTCTAATTGTTGGGTTAATGCTCAATAAACTGTTAAATTGGTAAATTATCACTTTCTAATGGTTGGGGTTAATGCTAAGTATATCAAATTGGTAAACCTCCAAACGAGTGAACACTCTCATCACATGAATATATTAAGTCAATTTTTTTTATACGATAATAAATATATAATTTAAAGAGTAGAATAAAATATGTTTAAATAAATATTCACCTAATCTCACAAAATTTATAAGTTACGAGAGTTAATTTATTTTTAATCAGACTTATGATAAATTAATTTGTATAAATGGATTGATTCACTCTAATATTTTTAATTGTTTATGGGATGTGAGACGATTCAAAGTGTAACATCTCACAAACTAAAAAAAAAAACTAAAAATAATGAAAAAAATTTAAGAGAATAGAAATGAAAGTAGAAAATGTAAAGAGAAATATTTGTATTTCTCACTCTCATTCTTTTTTAACTTTTTTTTCTAGTTGAGCTCATCTTAAATTAATAAAGAAAACTTAACAATTTGGATAACTCTATCTTTCATTAAAATTATTTTAAAAAATTTCATAGAAAAATAGTTCACATTCATATTATACCAAAAATAGATTCAAGCTAAAATAAAAAAATCACAAAAATCATCAAAATCATTTATCTTCAAATTCAATAAAATAGTAATTTTATGTATGTACTCATGGATTACTAACATTTATAATTTGATTATGACATAAAAGAAGAAAATATTTTTAAACCATTTGAGGTGAATAAAACTAGAACAATTTTTAAAATTATTTTTGTTGTGATAATTAATTATTTCTCTCACTGAATTTTCTTTGTTGGTCCAAGGAAAGCATTAAGAGTCCAATTCTGATATATTATTAGTGGAAGGAAGAAGTTAATTGAATAAAATTGGCATGGGTACACGTGTGACGAAATTGAATCAGGCAAATCTGAGCCGTTAAAAGGGAGTACTTCTTGAGAAGCATTTTTACTACATTACAAAAACCCAACACACTCTCGCATTCATTTATTCGAAGCCCTCAACCTCCAAACCCTCTCTTCCTTCTTTCTTCCTTTTTTCTTCTCCGTTCCCAAATCAAACCTAAATTCCCACCTTCTTCCCTCTCACCAAATCGCCAACACACTATTCATTTTTATTTATTCATATATACCTACAGAGGGAGAGAGGGGGAATGGATTCGGATCAGGGAAAATTATTCATCGGTGGGATATCGTGGGACACTACGGAGGACAAGCTCAAGGAGCATTTCGGTAACTACGGCGACGTTTTGAGCACTTCTGTTATGCGAGAGAAGAACACTGGCAAGCCCAGGGGCTTTGGTTTCGTCGTCTTCGCGGATCCCACCATTCTCGATAGGGTTCTCGAGGATAAACATGTCATAGATGGCAGAACGGTGACGCCTTTTTTCCATTTTTTACTTCATTTTTGCTGCTGCTTCTGCTCTTTTTCTAAATATTATTTTTTTGTCGTGTTTGCTGGTGTGTTGGTTTCGAATTGGAGGTGTGTTTGTTTTTGGGATTAAGTGAGGCTTTTTGCGTGCTGGAATGATTGATGGGTTTTTGGTAAGGGTTTTATTTGTTTCGTGGTTTGCTCTTGGAATTAGGACATGTGGTATTTGGTTTTTTCATTTTTCATTTTGAGTGGATAGGGTTTTTTTCTTGGCATGCACTTACTTTTGGTTGACTAGTTTCTGTAACATTGGGCTGATTGTTTTGTTCCTGGCTGTCTTTGGTACTCGGTTTTCTTAGTTCAAGGAGTGTTTTGTCTGCTCTTTCAAATGATGACGGCTTTTTACGTTGTCTGCGGGGGAAGTTGTCAGGAAACAAGTAGCCGATACGTTTCTTGCTGTGTGAACTGTTGTTAATGGATGAATGTGTAAAGGAAGTTAATAGAGCAGCTTTCACTGCTATTTTTTTGCAGTTTATCCGTGCTACTTATGTGTAAATGTTTATGATAGATGACAGTGCTGCTGATATTGTCCCCTCTTTGTTCAATTCTTGAAATGTGAAGTAGTACAACTCTTTTGAAGTTGCTAGCTTATGTTTCATTTCCTTCAATGATGTATGAATGAACACAAGTGTTCGTATAATGCTAGTATTTTGGAATAAGTTAATATTGGTTACTTGTTTTCATGGACGAACATACCCCAGTTTGAACGCAATACCTCCACCAATGATTCTTTTGAGATCTTTGATAGTTTTTAGATTTTATTATGTTTTGTCTTTGTATCGTATTGGATACGTGGATATTTAAAACCACGATTAAAGGCCTCTTCCTTAAAAATTAGTTTTCTTAATGTTGATAATTTGGAATTTTGGTTATTTTTGATCCCGTGTTATCTTTTCTTTTTATCATCAATTAAAGGTCTAACTTGCAATCATTTTATAATTTTATCATTCAGGTTGATGCCAAAAAGGCTTTCTCAAGAGAGGATCAACAAATTTCTGTCACCTCGAGAGGTGGAAATTCCAATTCTGGCATGAATTCTGGAAATGGAGGAAACATCAGAACTAAAAAGATATTTGTTGGAGGGCTGCCTCCTACCCTGACTGAAGAAAAATTTCGCCAGTACTTTGAGTCTTATGGACATGTAACCGATGTAGTAGTCATGTATGACCAGAATACTGGACGGCCACGAGGATTTGGTTTTATTTCATTTGATACTGAGGAGGCTGTTGATAGGGTATTGCATAAATCATTTCATGATTTAAATGGTAAACAAGTTGAGGTAAAGCGTGCACTTCCCAAGGATGCCAATCCTGGTGCAAGTGGCCGTATGATGGGTGGTGCTGGAGGTGGTGGTTCTGGAATTGGTGGGTATCAAGGGTATGGGGCATCTGGTGGTAACCAAAATGCATATGATGGGCGAATGGATTCTAGTAGGTATATGCAGCCTCAAAGCGCTGCAGGTGGATTCCCTCCTTATGGTTCTTCTGCCTACAGTGCTCCTGGGTATGGATATGGTCCGGCTAATAATGGTATTGGGTATGGTGCATATGGAAGTTATGGTGGTGCCACTGCAGGGTATGGTGGACCTGCTGGTGCAACATATGGGAATCCTAATGTTCCTAATGCTGCTTATGCTGGTGGTCCTCCAGGGGGCCCAAGGAGTTCATGGCCTGCTCAGGCACCCTCTGGTTATGGATCTATGGGCTATGGGAATACTCCTCCATGGGGTGCTCCAAGTGGTGGTGCTGGCTCTGGTGGAAGTGGTCCTGGTTCAGCAGCTGCAGGTCAGTCCCCTGGTGGAGCTGCCGGATATGGGAACCAAGGTTATGGATATGGGGGATACGGTGGATACGGTGGAAGTGATAGTTCTTATGCGAATTCAAGTGCATATGGCACTGTTGGTGGACGAACAGGGAGTGCTCCAAACAATAGTGCTAGTGGTCCTGGTGGGGGTGAACTAACAAGTAGTGGTGGCAGTGGTAGCTATATGAGTGGTGGCTATGGGGATGCAAATGGAAATTCAGGTTATGGAAATGCAGCTTGGAGATCAGAACAAACTGGAAATTATGGAACTCCACAGGGAAATGGTGGCCAGGTTGGTTACGGTGGTGGCTATGGTGGTGCTCAGTCTCGACAAGCCCAACAACAGTAATTTTGATAGTTGGATATCTTGCTGGATTTTGAAATTCAACTTGAGGATCCTTTGCCTTTTAAAAATTTTAAATCATGAGGTCAGAATGAATTTTTCCAGCAGCAAAGGAGTGGCTCAAAGATCGATGTCAATACACAATGGGACTGGTTGGGTTGCTTGAATCCCAGTAGTTTGCAGTATCTGCTTTCCTAGTTTATAATAAGTAGTTGGTTGAAGAGATACTAGATGCTACTTTCTATTTAGTATTTGTTTCTGCGTGTAGCTTTAATTTGCGTGCTTATGATTTTAGTTGATCTCGAATGGCTGTTCTTGTAGCATTTAAGCTATAGTATGATATTTCACCTTATATGATGGTTTGATGCAGTTTATTATCTGTTGTCTTTTTTGTGGTTGAAGTTTAATTACTGTCTCTTTCATTTTCTGATTACATATGTTGTCTTGACTCATTCTAGTTGTCATAACAAGTAGAAATATGAAGATGTAGTCAAGCTATTTACTCATAGCAGTGGACACTTGGATTGATCACTTCATAATGGGTAGCGTAATCATAGTGATAGTAAAAACTTTGAGGATGGCATAATCATTTTCCCCCTGTATTTGCACTTGTGTTGTACAGGAGGAGAGGTGCACGAGTATGGAAGTGGTGGAGCCAAGTGTCCACCCGTATCTAAAGAATGAAATTTGGCCAGTCTTATTGTGTTTTTCTGGACCAACGCATCACCAAATTGGAGATTTCTGGCTTTGTGAGAAAAATTTCCTTAACTTTCCATCTGGTCTGTGGTGGCGGAAAGATAGAGAGAGTTAGCAGCACATTGACTATTTCAGTTGGCCTAGGCCCTATTCTATAGAATTTTATCCTATCCTATCTTGTGTGTCCAGTGATTTATGTTTTTTATGTGTTGGAGCTCAGTATAATTTCATGTCTAAGTTGGAAAATTTTTAATCTTTTCTTCTCTAAACTAATGTTGTTTTATAGGGCAAGTGCTTTATCTTACACCCAAAGGTTAAATAGCCATTTCATTTTCATTTATAACAGTAACTCTTATTCAAATGTAAATTTAAAGTAAGATAAGAGTTACCAACTCAATTTTACATCAAGCATTGTCAGGTATAGAATTGAAATGCTTTAATGCTAGTTAATCTTGACACAGATTGGCATGTAGCTTTTCAGATATATCTTTAACCGTACTTTTCTCAGACATATTGATCTTAACGAGTGTTTATGTTGTTTTAGGTTCTTGACGGCTTTTTGTAAAATTGTTAGGTTGTAATTTAATGCAGAATGTGCATTTCTACGTTTTTTTTATCCATGCTAAAATGCGGGTTAACATGGTGTGCGCGTTCCATTCGTTCTACCTACGCCAGTCATTTGGCACGTTCATCCGTTGAGTGAATGAGACGAGCTTTCTTTGTGTGAACCTTTTAGCAAACCATGTTAATGTAAGACTGACCGGAAGCTAGAAATCACTAAAAGAGGATTGCTATATTTTATCGTTATACTTTGTTAAAAAAGTAAGCTTGTAATTAAAGGATTGCGAGTTTTTATTGATAAAGAAAAGGACTGGAAAAGTGTCAAGTGGAGCAAATCATAAAAGTTATATATACATTCAAGGTTTTCTATGGTGTTTCGTCTCATTTGATTTTGGAAAATGTTCTCGTAGCACGAAATAAGTTTTAAGATATTATTGACATGTTTTCATTTCTTTTTGTATTAAACGCAACTATTTCATGTGTTAAGATATATAGATATTTGTTTCGGGTAAGCAAATAACAGTAACATTGATAATCTGCATACACCGTTTAAGGCATATTATTTGTTGGTTGTAGAAATCAATTGCGCTGATGAATGAATCTTAACAATGTTTCGCCAATATTTGATTTAGATATGTAAGTAAGATGGAAAGGAGAAACACATTATTCTGCTTTTATAACGTTTTCTTGGGGAATCTTTCTTCTGTGACATGATGCTGCGCATTTTGAACTCTCAAAAAGTTTATCTTATATCACCTCCACGCTACTATGTTACTTCAATTACTATACACAAAATCTAAATTGTGAACTGCGAAAATTGGCCTTTCAATTTTACACAAGTATTTTTTGCCCAATCCTCCCCTTAGGTGACACTTCAAAAGACCATCCAAAATAAATTTCATCACAGCCTTTTGTACTCTTTAAACATTTTTTCCCCTCATTTCTCAAATCCCATTAAACGACTCTCCAATTGGACCTCTTCAAAATAAATTCCGTCTTAGCATTTGATACAATTAAAAAAAATGTTCTAACTAGGAAGCATCGTAATAGCCTGCTCTATGGGCCCTCTAAGTGTGATTGCGATGTGTGCGGCGGCAACATGTTTGTGCGAGAAAATGTTTATTTTATTTCAATTCAATAAATCTTTAACATGATTTACATATACATATAAATCACATACAAGTAATGAAAAATTGACCTTTCTTTTTTTCTTGTCATAATCAAGACATAGCCGCATGAGCTTGAAGCTAGTTGTAATAACACACAGGGTACAGCATTTTCAACATGTACTTCATAATACTCTCTAAATCATATAAAGCTTGTTCCTTATTCCTTAAAAAAATTATTTTTTTTGAACGAAAAAAATTATCACCAATGTAGCTGTTTTTAGCAGCAACACAATTCAGCTCCAATAAATTTTACATGGCAAAATCATGTAATGCAGTCTGTTCTGTCAACTTGTTTTAGTCTAGCATTTGTATGGATCGCCAAATGCAGCAATGTTACCAGGGCGAGAGAAAACGACCTACATTGTTACAACATATTACATATCATTATCATGGTCATTGGGTATTTAAGGATAGCAACTGGGTAATGTACCTGGTAATTCCCCAGTGTGAGTGACTTGAAACCTGCACCACAGTAATCAAAATAGTATTCCCATGTCCTAATGAACTTTTCATTAAATCCGAGAGCCAAAATTTCGCTGTCAGCAAATACACACATTTTCAATAGTTAGTTGTTGTAAGTAGCCACTTGAATTTAACATACTTGAGTAAGTTTCAATCATCTTAAGAGCATACTTCTGCCTTTCCATGAAGTTTTTTCTCCAGCATCTGAGTGTTTGATAGTAATGAATGCCCATGTTTTCGACATGCTCCACGCTGCATTTCAGTGAAAGAGAGAATAATGAAGGGAATGGTCAATAATAGAACTCGGTATTTACATATAACTTGTACCATAGTCTGGATGTGGTTGCCATGGCTGATGTTATCCTACTTAGAGAGGGTAGGCAACCTCCTGGAAATATATATTCCTTTATAAAATCAGAACTGCGCCTATATTCATCATAACGCTCATCTGGGATTGATATGAACTACACAACAATAACCATCTTCACAAATGGTTAGAAGTAATTTGAATACCAAAAAGAATGTACTTGTTGATAACGTTTCATTTGTAGAGCATATCATGAATTTCTATTATCTAAACACAAAAACTTGTATAGAAGTACTAATCTATCAAATACCTGAAGAACAAGAAGTCCATTTTGGGCCAATACTGACTCACAACAACCAAAGAACTCTTCCATGTATTCATGGCCAACAGCTTCTATCATTTCACTGAATTATGCTTATACAAGTCAAGTAATATGTTGGAAAGATTGCAACAAGTCTGCAAAATTAAACTATAAATAGCTCACCATGATATAATCCTGTCGAATTTGTACGTCTTGGGCAGTTGGCGATAGTCACACAGTAGGAATTTGATGCTATCCTGGAATCACCACGATTAAAATAACATGAATTCGCTCTTAGCTTATTCTGATTTTATAAAGAATCAATCGTACTTATATAAGGAAAATCATGGAATCGTAAAAAAATGAGCTTATTGATACCTGAAGTCCAGCATCTTTGACTCTTTGTTCTGCAAGTTTCAGTTGTTCCTTGGACAAAGTGATACCAGTGTATCTGCAGCCTGTTTGTTTGACAACTTCAATGGCTAAACTTCCCCATCCACATCCAACCTCAAGAATTTCATGCGTCTTATCAATTTTAGCCTTCGTTTTTGAAAAAAAAGAAAAAGAAATCACATTATACATTTTTTAAGATAATAGCTGAAATTGTAACAAAATAGAAATCAAAAGCACATACCTTTTGAATCAGAAGGGAGATTTTTCTCCTTTGTGCATCTTTCAAGTCTTCGTCTTTGTTCTATCAGATAATTAACAAAGAAAAGAAGGAAGAGTATTAGCTACTGCTGCTGCAGGAATTGGAGAAATTCTTTTGATATGAACTTCGGACTCAAGCATCAGATAGCTGTTCTTGCCTTGAACACTGCACATGAGTATGTCATTGTTTCATCCAAGAAAATTGCAAAGAGTTCATTGCTCTGGAAATAGACCAAAGAAAAATTGTAAGCTTCAAAATTCTATGTGAGTAAACTCTCACTTGATAAGGAATATTTGATTTGATGTTCTGTGATCGTGCATAACTAGTTATATTCGTATACACTACTCTATATTGTTGGATAAGCTCCTCTAAAGTCACTGAATCTAGGAGCTTTTGAATTCATACCAGATCATAATGCCTAGAGATGTTCCTGCGAGCCTGTGTGAGAGTATTTCGCCTTGAAACATGGTCCATGAAGAACTTTGCAGATGTCAATGCAGATGTAAAGAATACTGGTGTCCACCAACCCCTAAAGGCAAAAAACAAAAAGTGTTTTATGCAAATGCAATTAACTACATATATATGTCGACTTCAAGTCATCATATGAACTTACCTATTCTTCTTGAGGTGTGAGTTGGATGCATTTGAATCTCGGTTGGCTATGAGAATCTGCAGTAAAATTATCAAGGTACAAGAAAGTAAAGTGTAAAGTCCCAAAGAGACAACTCACTGTAAGATTCATATGAGAATGGTTACCAAAATAAAATTCAAGAGACCTTCATCTTTATCAACAAATGAAAAATCCCCATTGATATATGCATCTGCAAGGCCTAAATCTGCCTGTGCCATCGCCTGAAAAACATGTACGAATGATAGTTTTTAGTTGCTTGTCAGCTAGAATGGCATTAATCAATAAGCATACTTAACGTGAAATTTAAAAGTAAAATACCTTCCAATAAAATTGTGGACTGTGGATTCTCAAAACACTCTTCAGAATGCCTTTTCCTCCAGTTCCCTCAAAGTTGAACATTGTTCCTCCCTCTTCTAATAAACTGTACACCTCAAGGTAAATGCACCATTACTAATGCCCTTTTTGACAAGTCAAATCCATAGAAGGTGAGCTCACTACTAAATATAAACTATCCTGAAACATCTTGTGATGTTACTATCAAATATATTTCATTTTTGTTTTCTATGCAAATTCACCCTGTAAGAAGTAAACTCACGTTAAACAACCAGTATTGACATAGTAACTCAGGAATCTAGTCACAAAAATGCGTGCTCCCAGTTCCTTCCAAGAAGGTACCATGTGTTTTGGGTTGGTCTGAAGGACACAGCGTTTTCCAAGAATGCCATGAGCTGCAATCATTCCAGCCTGAAGAATAATCTTACAGTTTAGTTCTTTTGTTTCACTTCAACGGATTGGTGACAATGTGCAAGAAAATTGACTGCCTCAATAATTTCAACTTAAGGAGACTCTTGAAAGAAATATTTTTCAGTTAAGACTGTATTTCCACTTTCATTATGAACTTAGCTTTAACTACCTTAAATCCATCTTCATGAAACCCATTACCTGAAAAACACATATATATGTATGTTTAGATCACTGGTATATCTGAAGCAGATATAAATTCCTCAATCTAACACAGGTTCTAAAAATAATGGAAATTTAGTAGGCATAAGTGAATTCATGGAAGCCTGAAGTATAATGTACCTTGGTAAGCCCCTGAAAACCACATTTTTCTTTTCCCTTGAATATGGTTTAGCTCTAAGGAGGCTTTGAATGCAGCAACTGATGGTACTGGATGACCAGTTGACCATTTAAGCAAGGTATTTTCTGGTATATGATCAGGATTTAGAGTTACAAGAAAGGGTTGACTTGTTTCTTTAATATTCTGCAAATTAGAATGAAGATCAACAGACAAGTTTCTTCATTACTCACTTTAGTTAGAATAACATAACGAAATTCAGTTATGATCAATGCATTTATAAGAAAAT